CTTCCCAAGCCGGGGGGGGGGGAGGAGAGAGAAGAAGTACAAAGTTGGAGTAAAGGAAGAAGGGCGAAAAGATGCCACTCCTTTTCCTGCCTGAATCCGAATTAAAGAAAGAGGGGGGGGGGGGGATGTAATGTAATGTATTCAAAGCTGCCTTGAATGCAATGTTGTGAAACATCTAACGAAACTGTAATGTTGAGCTTCACCCAATTATCCCCTCGACGGCAAAAGCGTTCACGCTCCTTCTAAGGAGTCGCGCCGAAGGACCCGAGGCAGCAGAGCGAGCGGAGGGTCTTCGAAGGCAGGAGCGCCCCAGACGCCTGGGGACACGCCACAGCCTCCCGCAAGACGCATTTCCCCGCACGCTGCACTGCCGCTTAGTCCAGGGCAATCCTACTGAATTTAAAAGGGCTTCACTTCCCCCCCCCAAAAAAAAAATAGAGAAGATAGAAAAGGTTCAGTACCCCACTCCCAAGTCTATACAAACACCAACTCTGCCCTTCTCTCATTTATGCTTTCTGGGGATTGCACTGCAACTTTTTCTTCTACTAAAGGGAGTCACTCCGGAATAAGCCACCGCCTAGCACGCATCCACGTCCACTTCTGCACGACGCCATGTGCGCGCCTAATCCCTCCGTGCAGACGCGCACACCCACCTCCTTCGAGCACCAAAAAGCAGACGGAGCTCCGCAAGGCGACCCTCCAAAATAGAGGGAGGGGGGAGGAACCCAAGCATGTAAACAAGCCCCTGGTGCGCCGCTCCACACATGCAGCCCGAACACGCGCAAATCGTTGCCGGAGACCGGCGCTCGGATCTCCACTATGCCGAGGTGCCTCCATGCCAGGCGTTATTTCTCCCTTCCACACTCTGCACGCGCCCACTGCCCCTGATTCCTAGTTGCAAGAGGGGGGTGGGGGGTCACGCCCATTACTGCCCTGAAGACAACTCAAATAAGTGGGTGGCATTTTAAGCAAACTCTTTCGTAAGTATTCTAGGGAGCCGCTTTTTAAAAATCTGAGAGGGGGGCACAGCCTTTCACCAACGCCCCCCAGCTCTGGCAACTCTAGTGCCCCACACCCAGCCGGCCAACCAGCCACCCAACTCTCCAAACTTTCCATCAACTCTGCAGAAAAAAAGTCCAGAGACCAGCGCCCCACCTCGTGTGCCAAGGGCGTTGGCCACTGTCACATCTGGGGGGGGGGGGGGGGGGGCACAGCAAACAGAGAGAGGGCGCAAAGCGACCCCTTTTCTGCAAGGAAAAACTTTTAAATATCAATTTGTCTCACTCAAAGCAGGGCAGTTTGGCAACCCCCCTGTAAAAAAAAAGCCTTATGAAAAACTTACATATTTAGAACACGAGTTTTGGGGAGGGGAGTTGAGTAGAGTCCCCCCCCCCAGCTCTGGTAAAACTGCCCCCCACTATCGATGTCCTCTAAAGAAGATGGACCCCCCCCCGTGACACGTCCTTCGCCCACCCAGTCTGTAGCACTGATCACATTTCTCCTCCCAAGATGCAAACCTCCCTCCCTTGCCGCTGGGCTGGTACCTGTGGGTCAGAGGCCTTCAGCTGCCCGGCACTGCCATGCCAGACGATGTCCCGGTACTGCCTAGACCCCGATCTGGTGTGGGATTCCTGGAGGCGGTGGCTGAGCCCTGGCAAGCAGGCTCCCGTGATATCCCTGCAGCAGGAGCGCACAGAGTGGGCAGCTCCCGGCGCTGGGTTGGGCTCTTGTAACTCAGCCTGGGATGGGTGTGACTCTCTCCCCTTCCCAGAGCCAAGGAGGGGAGGGACCAAGCTAAGCAGACAGAGAGAGCCAGCCCTGAGCGAACACACCGCCTCTCCAGCCAGCTCCAGCGAGCCTCTGTCTCTCCTCGGGCAGCACCAGGGAAGAGGGACCTGGCTGCATGTGGCCTACCCCTTCCTACCCTCTCTGGGTTTCTAAAGTTTCCTGCAGTGGAGAACATATTTTACATCAAGGTTTGTCCATCCTTGGAAGGATGGTCTAGAGCAGGCTTTGCAGGGAATGGCAGGGTCTCTCAGACGCTGATTGGGGATCCCGGGACTGAAAGTTGTGATGGACGAGCTTTGCTGATGAAGCCAGATTGTCCACCATGAGATTCTGTTGTCTGCCATTTGCAGCTGGAAGGGAATGTGGGTTTGCTCTAGTACAGTTTGGTGTAGTAGTTAAGAGCGGCGGATTCTAATCTGGAGAACCGGGTTTGATTCCCCACGCCTCCACATGCTGCCAGCTGGGTGACCTTGGGTCAGTCACACGTTCTGTCAGAGCAGTTCTCTCAGAGCTCTCTCAGCCCCACCTTCCTCACATCAACCTCTTCTTCTTATGTTGCAGGGCACACTCTCTGAGCCAGTTTGGTGTAGAGAGCCAGTTTGGTGTAGTGGTTAAAGTGCACAGACTCTAATCTGGGAGAACTCAGTTTGATTCCCCACTCCTCCACTTGCAGCTGCTGGATGACCTTGGGCAAGCCATAGTTCTGTCTGAGCTGTTCTTGAAAGAGCAGTTCTCAAAAGGGCTCTCTCAGCCCCACCTACCTCATAGGGTGTCTGTTGTGGGGAGGGGAAGGGAAAGGAGTTTGTAAGCCGCTCTGAGACTCTGAGTGAAGGGCGGGGTATAAATCCAATCTCCTCCTCCTCCTCTTCTTCTGTCCACACAGGGCGAGGGCAAGGCCTAGAAGACCTAAACAATACCAAGCCTACCTGGGAAGATCTGTGGAGTTCAGAGGATTCTGGGAGTATTCTAGGGGACATGCCTTGGCCACTTTGCTTGCTTGCAAACGGCTGCCCAGCTCCACCTTGGTTCCCAAACTGCACTAGTCTATTTTATTGGTGCATCCCCCATGACAATGATGTTATCCATTCTTGCACTTTCCGGGGGGGGGGCACTCTGCGGCGCTCTTTCTGGGTTTGATATGATCTTTGTGGAAAGATCGGCATCCAAGTTCCTTTGCTCGCCGTGGGGTTGGCAATTATTTCATGTCCTGCCCACATCAGCACCATTTCCCTTGTGTGAGGACCCTGCCGCTGCTGCCATCACCCTGTGTGCCACCAGAGATCATTTCCAGGCTTTTAAAAATAATGAGTAATTGCTAGATTGCTATGGCATTACAACAGGGTGATGAAGCAGGGAGAATGCAGGGGAAACTGCTGGGGGGGGACAGTCTGTTGCCACTGCGGATGCCTCTGCATTTGTAGTGAAACGTGAGAGCTTACAGGGCAGGAGCAACATGGAACTGTGCAGAAGCAGCCTGGAACATGGAAGCTGCCTCATACTGGGTCAGGCCTTTGATCCATCAAGGAAAGTATTGTCTACTCAGACTGGCAGCAGCTCTCCAGGATTTCAGGCGGAGGTCCTTCATTCCACCTACTGCCGGATCTTTTGAACTGGAGATTCTGGGGACTGACCCTGGGTCCTTCTGCATGCCAAGCAGATGCTCTGCCTCTGAGCCATGGTCCCTTGCGTGCTGCTTTGTTAGGCCTTACCCTCACTCTGTGAAGTGCCAATCACTGGTGGCTGCACGTGGGACGATAAAGCCAGGGTTCTCTTCCAGGGAAAGCTTGTCCACTGTTATGCAGCCACCGATAAGCCTCCAAGGAACCTCGGGCTCCACCAACATGGTTTGAAACGCACACCTCCGTTTCATCTTTTCGCTCTCCTCCCCCCCCATGTCGTCTCCCCGTGTTCAATATTTCTATTGTAAGTTCCTCAGGGCAGGGATCTCTTTTTTCTTTTGCCACTTGGTAAATCCCACATAGGAGCTGCGGTGGCTCAAGTGGTTAAGACGCTGAACTGCAGGCTGTGGAAGGTCGGTAGTTCAGCAGTTGGAGACCTGAGTGCCGCATGACGGAGTGAGCTCCCGTCTCTAGTTCCAGCTCCTGCCAACCTAGCAGTTCGAAAGCAAGCAAGTAGATAAATAGGTACCACTTCGGTGGGAAGGTAACAGCGTTCCGTGCGCCTTGGTGTTTAGTCATGCCGGCCACATGACCACGGAAACGTCTTCGGACAGCGCTGGCTCTTCGGCTTTGAAACGGAGATGAGCACCGCAACCCTAGAGTCGGATTCGACTGGCTTTCGAGCAAGGAAACCTTGACCTTTACCTAAATCCCACATACCGCGATGGTCCTGCAGAAATTAATGGCAGTTAGAGAGGCATGGAGCCTACTCAGCCATCTCTGGGCCTTTCTACACCCCAATATCAAGATTTTCAACATTCATTGTGTGCCAGTTTGTCACAGAATCAGACCACTGGTCCCTCTGGCTCAGTATTGCTCAATTTGATTGGCGGAGGCTGAGGAAGGTCTTTCCCAACAACTGCTATCTGTAAGCTTCTAACTGGAAATGCCAGAGTCTGAACCCCAGGACCTTTTCTATGAAGGGAGGGGCCGTGGCTCAGTAGCAAAGCATCTGCTTGGTGTGCAGAAGGGCCCAGGTTCAATCCCCGGCATCTCCACTTAACAGGACCAGGCAGTAGGTGATGTGAAAGCAGGGCCGGCCCAAGCGTATTTTGCACCCTAGGCGAGGATCCCTTCTGGCGCCCTCCCCCCACGCCCACAATTTTTCAGAAATAAATGCATTTTTGGAAGAATGAAAAACACAAATAATCAAGAAACCCTCAGAGTACGGGGCTGGGTGCATTTTGGCGCCCCTAAGGGCCGGGCCGCTCTAGGCGATCGCCTAGTGAGTGAGCCGGCCCTGTGTGAAAGACCTCTGCCTGAGACCCTGGAGAGCCGTTGCCAGTCTGAGCAGACAATACTGACTTTGATGGACCACCAAGGGTCTGGTTCAGTGTAAGGCAGCTTCATGTGTTCACCTTCTGCATGCAAAGTATGTGATCTGCCACCCAGTCGTGGCCCACCCAGCCCCTGTCGTTTGTTTTGCATCGCCCGTGTGGGCAGTGTTGCATTTCCTGAGTACTGAAAACACCGTATTTTGTACTCAGGGAAATATTTATATAGCCGCCGCAGCTTATCCAGAGCTTTACAGAGTAATATGAGAGCATAAGAAGGGGCCTGCCTGGGCCAGGCCAAACCCAGCACTGCTCCTGCAAAAATCCCTCAAATGACGTAAAAATATAAGCACAGTCCTGAAAGGTCTGTCTAGTCCAGCATCCTGTTTCCAACAGCAACCAGCTGGATGCCTCTAGGAAGTTCGCAGGCACTATTCACAGCATCCAGTATTTCTGAGGTAGACTGCCTCTGACGAGGGAAGTTCCATTCAGCTATCATAGCTATGAACAGCCCTATCCTCCTTCATGAATTTATCTAATCATATATTTACTATATAAACTAGTGGCAGGAAGGCAGGCAGTATGGTATAGCCTGATCTTTTCAGATCTCAGAAGCTAAGCAGGGTCGATACTTGGATGGGAGACCACCAAGGAAGGCTCTGGAGAGGAAGGCAATGGCAAACCGCCTCTTCTTCTCAGTTGCCTTGAAAGCCCCTTGCTGGAGTTACCATTAAGTCGGCTGCAACTTGACGGCGTTCTACACACACAAGTGAGTGGCCCACTACATTCTGAGGCAGAGAATTCTCTAAGGTAACTATGTCCCAAATGAAGTACTTTCTCTTGTTTATCCTTAAAGGTTTCCCTTGCTCGAAAGCCAGTCGAACCCAACTCTAGGGGGCGGTGCTCATCTCCGTTTCCAAGCCGAAGAGCCAGCGCTGTCCAAAGATTTCTCCATGGTCATGTGGCCGGCATGACTAAACACCGAGGCACACAGAACGCTGTTCCCACTAAAGTGGTACCTATTTATCTACTTGAAATTTCTTGCTTTTGAACTGCTAGGTTGGCAGGAGCCAGAGACAGGAGCTCACTCCGTCATGTGGCACTAGGGTCTCAAACTGCCAAGCTACCGACCTTCCGGTCTGCAGCTCAATGTCTTAACCACTGAGCCACCGTGGCCCTGTTGTTGTTTATCCTTAGCCCACTATAAACCAGGTTCTACTGGGTAATCCTGGGTTCTTATACAAGAAAGGATAGGAGAATCGCTCTATCCATAGCTTTATATATACTTCACGCAATGTGAAGTTTACTCACATGAACGTGTGACGCTGCCTTACACTAAATCAGACCCTTGGTCCATCGAGGTCAGTATTGTCTACTCAGACTGGTAGCGGCTCTCCAGCGTCTCAGTCAGAGGGCTTTCACATCACCTACTACCTGATGCTTTTAACCGGAGATGCTGGGGATTGAACCTGGGATCTTCTGCATGGAAAGCAGAGGTTCTTCCACTGAGTCCTTTCCATGGGACTCACTGCCACAAGATATGGCCACAAAGTTCAGATGGCTTTGCATTAAAAAAAAACAGTTTGAGGCAAGGGAGCACCACGTCTGCAAATGGAAAATTCTTGTCAAATTTAAACCATTTCCCTCACCTCAAATTCTTGAGCAGAACTCCAGTCCCTGAATGAGCAGCTTGTGCAGAGTGAGTGATGGGGGATGGAGCTTAACAGTCGGAAGTGTAGATGTTGGTGAAGGAGCCCCCCACAAACTTCCTGTGGGTTGCCCTTTTACTACGAAAACTCCCCACCTTCCGCGGGCCACGGCAATGAGCCCTCCCGCCCAAACACCTGCTGTGTTTAATTGCTATAAATACCCAGAGTGCACAACTTGTTTATGTTTTATAAATATCAACCAAAAATGCTCCTGTTCAACCAGGAGACTCCTC